GCACTCACTTTGGAATTGGCAGATCCTAAAAGAGTTAAACATAGAGTTACCCTCGGACCCAGCAATCCACTCTTTTACTTGTTTAAATTTAAATTTTGAAATTGATTCAAAATTCTATGTCTCTTTTACATCAACTGTAGTTTTGTTTTTTTTTTACCTTTTGACCCCCTTTGCCCAAATAATATATTTTTTAGCAAATCAGGAGGTTTTTTTATTCTTCAAAAAAAGTTTCTTGGCATTTAAAATATAATCTTGATGAAGATCTTGAAAGAAAATTACTAATTGAAATAATGTCACTGCCATCTTTTAAAAAATTTTAATTCTGTAAATGTTATGTACAAATAAAGCAACTGTTAAATTCCACAGGTGTAAAAATTACATATATATTACCATTGTTTGACAATTTCATCAAGAGAGTATAGATGAGAGCTTAGCCTGAAAGTTAAAAACACATCTTTTTTTATTTGGATTTTCTCAGGGGAAATAGCCTACAACACTGCATCTTCTGTTTGAGCATGTTTCAGGCTCTCCCCTGAGCCTGATCTTCTCCACCTATGACGGGGAAGTGTGGAAAAGTAAATGTAACAAGTATTTGTTTTAGTGAAACCTTCAGAACCCATGTCTGAGCCTGGATTGGACACTAAGCCTAGGGATTTATAAAGGCCAAGCCTGCCCTCTGAGGTTTCAACCCTTGATATTCCCTATGAGTTGAGAAAAATAATGATTTCACCTGTGTGTGTGCAAATGTTGGTTTTTTTTTTCCTATCATTTTTAATTGAAGTATAGTTGATTTACAATATTATGTTTATTTCATATGTACAGCATAGTGATTCAGTATTTTTGCAAGTTATACTCCCTTATAAGTTATTACAATATAATGGGCATAATTCCCTATGTTATATAGTATATCTTTGTTGCTTACTTAATTTATTTTTAAGTTAAAAAGTTGGACAGTATGTATAGTCTAAAATTTTATAAAAGAAAAAAATAACCTGGTTAATATATACATGGAAAATAATTCTGATAAAATGTGTTTAACCAACTGGTAAGATCCCTTGAATTAGGAAATGGCAACCCACTCCCATATTCTTGCCTGGGAAATCCCATGGAGAGAGGAGCCTGGTGGGCTGTAGTCCATGGGGGTGCAAAGAGTTGCATGACTTAGCAACTAAACAACAACAATAATCATCAGAGGAAGATTGGGACAAGGTAGGTGACAACATAAGAGGTAGTCACTTTTTTGTTATAATTTTCAGCAATATATGGACATTTTTATTATAAGAATATTATTTTAGAAGCAGAAAAATATATAAAAAGTATACAAATATAAGAGTGTTCCTTATGCTTTGAAACAGCAAAAAATTGGATGTGATAAATACGGGATTGGTTAAATAAATTATGTCCATATTATGGAACACAGTTTAGCTCTCCCCCAAATATAGTATCATCTCACACTTATACTGGAGAAGGCAATGGCAACCCACTCCAGTACTCTTGCCTGGAAAATCCCATGGAGGGAGGAGCCTGGTAGGCCGAAGTCCATGGGGTTGCTAAGAGTCGACACAACTGAGCAACTTCACTTTCATGCATTGGGGAAGGAAATGGCAACCACTCCAGTGTTCTTGCCTGGAGAATCCCAGGGGCGGGGGAGCCTGGTGGGCCACTGTCTATGAGGTCGCACAGAGTCGGACACGACTGATGCAACTTAGCAGCGGCAGCAGCACACTTATACAAAGAACCAATAATAATGATATGTTTCTATATAGCTCAAATTGTTAATTATATCTAGTTAAATAGCTCAACTTTCTGAGTTATTTCTGTAATGTTTCAATTCTTAATGAGCAGCATGAATTACTTTTGCAATTGGAATGAAGGGTTATTATTCAATGCATATTGAAATTATGGATTTTATAATATTTTTTAGGTCTTGAGAATTAACTACCCCACCATGTTATATCAGATAAGTCTATTGCTTAACTTTTATGTGTTAGACTTTTGTATACATTTCCAAAAACATTTAATGTATTTTAGTTAGAGACTGTTTAGATATCACTTTCCTTTTTTCTCTAAATCAGTGCTATTCAATAGAAATTTAATGCAAGCCACCTATGTCATTTTAAATTATCTAGTAACTACATTTTTAATGTAGTTTTTTTAAACTTTTTTTGTAAAAGGGAACATGTGATTAATTTTAATAATATAATTTATTAATCCAATATATGTAAAATACTATCATTTTGACATGTAATGAATATAAAAATTATTAACAGCATATTTTACATTCTAATTTTCATACTAAATCTTTGAAATCTGATGTGTACTTCAGACTTGCAGCAGATCTTAACTTGGATGCTAAATTTTCAACAGTTAAAATATCCTACCAAAACATTACATTTTTTTTAAAGGAAGAATATTTTACACTGCTTCAGTCTTTAAACTTGAGTTAAAATTAATTAAAAATAAAAAATTCAGTTCCCTAGTCATACTAGTCATATTTCAAGTGGTCAATAGCTACATGTGGCTGGTGGCAACATACTTGAAACAGTGCAAATATAGAACATTTCCACTACTGCAGAAAGTTCTGCTGGACAGTGCTAGTCTAGACACTGAGCTCTTGACTGATAAAATCAGCTCATCTTTGGAGTCCTACAACATAACTGTGCCTGTCACATAGTAGGTATTTCATAAATGAGGGATCCATTCATAAACCTGAGTTGGGGTGACCATAAACGGGAACCTGGTGCAGACAGAGAAGGATAAGAAGACCTTCACAGTATGGAGTTGGGTGGTTATCTTCCAGCTGAGGAAAGACAAATAGTTACTACATTAGAGGATTTTTGAGCCTGGTGTTTGCAAAGAGCAAATGATCTACGAATTTCTATTTGTTTTTCCTGACTTAATATAAACAAGAATTTGTGGAATGGACTTTTAGACCTAAGCAAGTGCAGAGGTTGTGTTTGGAAGGCCAGGGCTCAGTGTAAACTGTGTCCTACTGAGTTGATGCAATGGTGGTCTGTTGGTGGCAAGTGAGGGTAGCATAGAGCTGCCAGGGTGGTGAGCTCTGAGGAGTTCCAAAGTGTGGGTAGATGGGAAATTGGGGGGGCAGTATTAAGGTGAACCCAAATCAAGAACTTGCAGGCCAAAAGGAAAGCCAAGTCTATAAAGCACAGCATCAGGAAGGATGGCAAACTCAGTTGGGACCAAGGTATAAGGAAAGATGCTAAGATCTGTTTCTTCCCATCCCAACTTAGAGGGAGGTTTAGTCTTTCTTTCTTTCTTTTTTTTTTAATGTAAATTATAAGCAAATTGAGAATTAAAGTTACTGTTAACCTCATAGAAGTGTATAAACAAATCACTGGTTTAAATTTTGAGTGTATTTCCTTTCTATATAATCATTATTTTGAATGCATGTTTTATTTTATAAATGGATTTTAAAAAACACCTTAATATTCTGTAAACATCTTTCCCTGTCTTTACATATTCTTAGTATTCTTTTTTTTTTAATCATTTATTTTATTTTTTGGCTGTGCTGGGTCTTCATTGCTGCCTGTGGGCTTTCTCTAGTTGTAGCGAGCAGGGAAGGGGGCTACTCTCTAGTTGCCGTGTGAGGGCTTTTCTTTGCAGTCACCTCTCCTATGGTGCACAGTCTTTAGGCAGTGGGCTCTAGAATGTGGGCTTCAGTAGTTGTGGCTTATGGGCTTAGTTGTTCCGTGGCATGTGGAATCTTCCTGGACCAGCATTCGAACCCATGTCCCCTGTGTTGGCAGGCAGATTTTTGATCACTGGACCACCAGAAAAGTCCTATTCTTAGTAGTCTTATACACTATTTTTAATGGGCCCCTAATTTTTCATTGGTGTGGATTTGTTCCATTTGATTTAACCAACTGTCAATTAGAGGACATTAAGATTTTTCACCATTTGAAACAATGTAAATACTAGGTAAATCTTTGTGAATATTTATGGTGATCTCTTTAGAATAAATTCCTATAAGTAGAATGGTTAGGTGAGACATTAATATCTATAAGTTTTTGGATTTGAATTGCTAAATCCCTCTCTTGAAGGCTGTAACAATGTACACTCTTCCACTAGTGCCTATTTCCCCAAACCCTCATCAATTCTGGGTAACATTAAAAACAAACAAGCAGCATCCACTATAGCCCAAAACCCAACTTTGCTAACTTGACTGGTGGAAAAAAAACGGCACCTCAGTTTTTAAAATAGCATTTCTTTGGTTACTACAGATGTTGGACTTAAAAAAAAAAAAACCTGGCCATATATTTGTATGTGTGTGAGATTGACCTGCCTATTTTTGTGACTGTCCATTTTCTACAAGATACTTACTTGGAGAGTTTTGTAAGTGCTGTCTACATAGTAAGGATATTAAACCTTAAAATATATGCTACAAATACTTCCCACTTGTACAGTGTTTGCCATTTCATTGTTTTTATATGTGGCTTCACAGTTTTATTTTTAAAATAAACTTTTAGTTTTTGAATAATTTTTAGAATAATTTAACTTTATAGAAAAGTTGCCAAGATAGCGCAGAGAGCTCCTGCATACCTCTCACCCCACTTGCCCTAATGTTAACAGCTTACAGTGGGCCCCCCCTTACTAGGGGACAGATGGCTAAAACCATGAATAGTACCAACCCCTTTATATAGTATGTGTTTTCTTACACATACATAACCTATGATAAAGTTTAATTTACAAATTAGGCACAGTAAGAGGTTAACAACAATAATCAATGAAATGGAGCAATTATAACAACATACCGTAATGAAAGTTATGTGAATGTAGTCTTTCTCAAAATATCGTGTATAAATTAGTGCCTTTTCCATTTCAACTAAGCACTTGTGTGCTGTGGCCTAACTTTTGCAGTGTGAAGTGTGGCAGCAAAATTTGCATGCATTTCTTTTTCCTTCTTCACAATTTTATGAGTAGAGGATTTGTTCTTACTGTAGACCTCAGCATATCTTTTTTTTCCTTTCCTTATTAGGTCAAGAACTTTCACTTTTTCACCCAAAGGAAGATTCTGTGGCTTACCCTTGGCATATTCAAATTGCCAGCATCACTACTCTTGTGCTTTGGGACCATTATTAGTAATATGAGGTTTCCTTGAGCACAAGCACTGTGATACTTCGACAGTGAATCTGATAGCTGACGTAGCTATTAGGTGAGTAGTGGTCCTGACACGCTGGACAGAGGAATGATTCATGGCTTGGGTAGGATGGAGCAAAATGGCAAGAGGTTTCATCTGACTGATTAGAACAGCACACAATTTAAAATTATGAATTGTTTATTTCCATAAATTTCCACTTAATATTTTTGGGCCTCAGTTGACCTTGGGTAACTGAAACCTTGGAAAGCAATACTGCAGATAAGGGGGGGAGGGCTACTGTATATAAGCATAGAATATTTGTCAAAACAAAGTTTAAAGTTTGGTTGATTAAAAATTGGAGCACACTCTTTTTCAGACATTTGTGCATTTTCCATGCAAGTCTATGTAATCTATAATGTACTGAAATATATCATTGATAGTTTACTAATAGAACTGTAGAACTTTTTTTTTTTTTACTATGAATCATAATCTTTCTATGTGCAAAGGCTCTCAGAGTTTTGATTTTGAAGTGCTTTGGAGTCTGGTAACTCTATTGAAGGATTTAATTTGCAGTCCTGTCTCCTATGGTTTCATTTAGTGTCTTACTCTCCCTACTATCAGGCCACTTACTTTCTAGGGTTAAAGGGCAAAAGTGAAAAGTGTGCCTAACATCATTCTTAATAAGAAGTAACATGCCATGAGGGCACTTTTCTAAAGACAGCTATCATCTTACTCTTTCTCAATTACAGCTTCCCCAGGGATAGGTTGATAAAGAGGTGTTTGGTCTAAAGTGGTGTTTTCCTAGAACTGAGTGGAAATACCTTGGATGACTGGACAGCCCAGAGTGTTGGAGCAATGACTCAGGGTAGAAGGATGCCTGCTCCACCTGGTCACTCCTGGGTCTTTGTGTAAGTCATTTCCCCACTTGGGGCCTAATTTCCTCATCTGCAAAGCAATGGGACTTCAGTGATCTTTTTCCATCTGGAGATTTTCTCAGTGATTCTCGAAAACAGATTTATTGCAACTGATGGATAGGTTCATGATGTGGATTGTGGTGAAGGTTTCATATGTCAAAGCTTTTCAAATGGCATATTTTAAAATACATGCAGTTTAATGTATATCACATATATGTCAATACAGCTATCTAAAAAAATTTTATCCCACTTTTAGAATGATGAGGCAATAGAAAAGATAAAACTCTATTCTGATAAACTTCTGTTTATGATGTTAGTGAGAGAGAGAAAAACAGCAGTGATTTCTGGAGTTTTCCCTACAGCTTTCTACTATGGCTTGTGATTTCTCCTCCCCCAGCTTCTATTTTTTTTAAATTACTATTTTCATCTATTCCAGGAAATGTTCATTTTCTTCATCTCAGGCATCATCCTTGAGTCCTTGCTCTTTTTTTGGAATGCCTGAGGTTTAGGAGCGAGGGGGTCCAAGCTTCAGTTGGACTTTACTGTGTCTCTAGGTTCATCCCCACCATCTTTTTCAGGAAAAGAAGAGAGCTATCATGTCCCTAACTCTTATAGTGAACTCAATTCATTGGGTAGTACTTCTCAGCAAAAATTCCTCTTTGAAAGTACACTTTAAGGGAGACAAAATATATTCTTACAGTGGAACTTCATACTGTGACAGCTGGGTGAGGAAATACTCAGAGGCTGTTGTGGAGGTGGGCTCTGCCCCTCCTTTCCCACTCACTGCTAAGTATTCTTTTCTTGACTTCTTCTATGCTCAGTCAGGCACAAGTCACTCACCAGGACTCACGATCCTTCCACCGAAATACCTCTTCGAGCCCATCATCTGCATTCCCTCTGGCACCATCCAGTCCATATGCATCATTTAAAAATCTAGGTTTCTCCAGGAAGCTCCTTGCTTGACTCCCTGCTTAAAACTTCTCTGCCCTGCAACCATGCTGCAGGATTCATCATTCTCAAGACTGCAGTCTGCTCAAAAACCTTCCAAGGCTCTCCATCTGCCCCTTTCATCAAGTATAAACTCTTCTGCTTGCACTGTGAGACCCTCTACCACCTAGCCCTTGTCTTCTCATATTCTACCTTCACCACCATGCCCAGGGTCAAATCTGCCTGAGTGGGTCAAATTCCTCTCAATTCTGTTGTATACCATTTTCTCCCAGTTCTCTACCTTTTACCTGTTTCCCAACCACCAGAAATCTGCCTTCCCTAAGATTCAGCTAAGGCCCCATCTTTTCCAAGAAGCTTTTACTGATTCTGCAAGTACATTAATTTCAATTCATATGATTACTGTTTACTTGATAGGTTCTGCGGACGTGAGGATGAATTATGGCTTCTACCTCTTGGTTTCTTTCTTCTCCCCAATACCCAAAAGAATGAAAAAACAGAAACACTGTATATATACCTGTTGGTCTTCTTTACAGACCGGGACCTGGTGGACCGGAGTTGATGAAAAGAAAGAGAGAAAAAGAGAGAGAGAGCAGTATCTCTTGGATTATGTGGAAAACCAATAAAGCCCATACACAGGACTTGTACCGCTCACGAAGGCACAGAGCGTCCTCTCAAGGAGGTCTTGAGCCCAGGCGAGAAAGTGAGCTCAGTAGGTTTCCATGTTCCAACGAAAATGAAGACAGAAAGAAGGACGCGGGGGACCCATGTCTCTAGTGGAGCAAGGGTATTTTATTAGCAGAAATGCAGGTTTATATATCTTTAGTAAAATGATTACTCAGCTATTACAAAGAAAGAAATTCCATCAGTTGCAACAAAATGGATAGTCTAATACATACAAGGTTGTTGATGCTGAAAAGAGTCACTGAAGGGAGTTACTGAAAGGAATCCAAGCAGGCACCCTTTCCCATGATCTCAGTCCTGAGAACTGTGTGCGGCTCTACTCATTCCCAGAATAGGAACTGATAAGGAACAGAGAATCCTTGAGAAATGGCACACACAGGAAGAAAAGTGCAACGTATTGGATTCCTTAAAGTTGAACGTCCCCTGACAATTCCCCCCTTTTTATTTTTTCATAATTGGGGGTGATTGTAGATACTTTAGTGGAAAAGGTCCTGACCAAATGAGTTTGTTTAGTTTGAACAATTTTAGTTGAAAGGCATCGGTATAATATGCATATAACCATTAGGACAATTATTAGCATTACAATTTTAGATCCAATACTATGTATAATGTTTTGCAACCATCTTCGAAGGTCTAGCCCAGATAATTGATCAGCTAGCTGTTCAGCTAAGGTTTCCAGACTGTTGGAAGGGGGTAGACTCTTAGAGAAGGCTTCAAAGATTTCTTTTTGTAATAATTGTACATTTAAGGAAGCATTATCATGTAAATCTTGTAAATGAAATTTGATTTGTTTCCAATTATAGGCACTATAGTTGAACCGAACAGGGGTAATATAAAATTGAGTAGAATTTCAATCACGTTTTAGTATAGCTTGTTTTTGTAAATCTATTAATTGATCTCCAAACCGTTGGAGGGCTATTTTTATTTTCTGTATTTCATCTTGAACTTCTTCATTTATCTGAGCCTGAGTGGTCCACATAGTATGAGCATATTTAGTCCAATTTTGGATAAAATTGTGTATTTGAATTGAGGTTTGTAAAGTGATGCTGGCAACAGCAGCAGTAGTGCAAATGGCTGTTAATCCCAAAATGTCAAGAATTAGCTATCCAATGAATTGTTTAGATCATTGGAATAATTTAGTAAGTAACCAGGAAGCAAGTCCAGTCATGGGACCTTCCTCCCAGTGCCATTGGACATCTATTGGCAACCATAGGTTGTGTCGAGATCAAAGAATCAGAAGGGATTCATTTTTTATAGACATGGAAGAGTTAAGACAAGTATATAGTTTGCAATTTGTATAAGTTACAGAACGTAAAGTCTTATTAAATTGCAAGTTTCCTATAGCTACAACAAAAGGAAGGGGAACACAAGCTTGTATGAAATATGAATGATTATAATGAAAGGAATAATGACTAGAACCATGACTAGTCCCTGTGAAATATCCAGTCCAAGTTACAAGTTCTTCGGTGTTCGTGGCAAATTTCCAAATGTCCCATTGTTCAGGTCCAATCCATTTATTGAGGACGATTCGAGGGTGAGAAGGTGCTATCCCATCGCTGCCACTAAGAAGTCCTTTGTCATGGTAATGTTTCATTGTAGTACTGGTAGTCTTTCATGTTACTTGAGTAGTATAATCACATACAGTATGGTTAATATCATCTGAACAGTCAGATAACCATATACCATGAGGCTCGCAATCGACAATGGTGTAATTGGCCAGAAACATTAATTTTCCTGATTTGGTTTGACATCTGTCTTAATGAACAGGAGTATATTTAAAGTTTTTATAAGTAAACCCTTTACATAATGTTTTTTGTCCTTTTCCTAGAGTTTCAGTAGTGTTGACATGGTTTTCATAAGAAGAAAGGGCAGTAAATAATCCAAACAATGTCTGATAGTCCTTTTTTGGAGGCAGGACGAAAGTCCAAGTTTGTCAGATAATGTTTATGCATAATTCTGTTGGGCCCATGCATAAAGGAAGGATTTCATAACCTAGAGAAATATTAATTAGTCTCCCTTCTTCCCTCTCTCCTTCTACAGGGTATGTGGGCCCCTCCAGGCTCTAAGGAGGAGGCATATGTACTGAGTCATTAGTGGATATGATTGGTCTTATGTCTGTCCATATTATAACCTGCAATGAAAGGGGGGTTAGGTGTATAAGCCTGAAAAGTGTAATTAATCAAGTCAGCCTGAGCAGGGGGGAAGCAAAAGCAAGCAAAGAAAGCATAGTGACAAAAATGTTTTCTGGATTCCGAGGCATTCCCTGTTGAGAAACCAGATTTTCAGCTTGATTAGTAAGGGTTTTTATGTGTCCCCAAGTAGGGAGATCATGAGGTAGATGACACAGAGTGCAGCATTTTGGGGAAATCTCTAAAGCCGCCGTTGCTTGTACTGGAACCTCCTCTTCCCAGGGATTTCGCCATTTCCTCTCTATCTTGAATGTCAGTGGTTCCCTGGCGGTGGATCTTCCGAAGAAGGCGCCAACTGACTTCGTTGGATCCATCTGGAGAAATATAAGCATACCTCTTTCTC